TGCTGGGCAACCTAGCAGTTAGCACACCTGACTTCCGGCCCCTTGCTTCTCTGACTGACTGGCACAGGTGCCTGGTTCCTGGCCTTTGGCCAGGAATCTTCTGGCCTCAGCCCTTAAGGAAGTGTGTTAAGGGATGCCCTCCCTCTCCACCAGGTCCTAGCCCAGGCCCTGGGGAATCAATACGAGCAGGGTCCTCACAGCAGAAAGTCTAAGTCTGCTGCCCTGGACTATGTCCCTTGAGTTTGGGGCATGGCCCCTATTGTCCAAATAATCTCTGGTGGCTTGCCTAGAGTAGCATCCCTTTGTGGACCTTTTGCAGTGTTGCATCCTGCTGCAGCCTCAGGTCCCTCTGGGCAGAGGAGCACAGGAGCCTAGCCCCACAAAGTCCTTACAGTCAGCTAGTAAGGTTCACTCACTGCTGGGTGCTCCCCAGTCCTCCTTGGTCAGGGACACAGTGCTTCTCCCCTGTCATCTTGTTTTCTGTGAAAAGCTGTGAGGATGGACACAAGGGGAAAAAATCTTCATATCTGGACTGTTTGGATTCTAACAGGGCAGAATAACTGAACAAGAAGACGGAGATCCCCAGAGTTATTCTGAGTAGCCTTCAGCAACTTTTTGGGGAACTGGCAGATTACTACATCTCTGCTACCATTTGGAATTAAAGACTGTGACTCACCTATATATGTACTTAACCTGCTTTAAACTCTCAATAACTGTCATTTATTTGTCTTAGCTAATAAACCTTTAGCTAGTTTACTATAGAATTGGCTACTAGCATTGTGTTTGGTGTGACATCTAGGATGCAACTCGACCTGGGTGAGTGACTGGTCTCTTGGGCCTAGGAGGAACCTGGAATATTTGTGATCTTTGGTGAAAGTGACCATTTATCACATAGTCCAGCTTGCCTGGGTGGTAAGATAGTCTTGAATGTTTGAGGGGGTGTCTACAATATGAAATTAGGTCGATTTTATAGAAGTCGTTTTTCATAGAATCATAGAATCATAGAATATCAGGGTTGGAAGGGACCCCAGAAGGTCATCTAGTCCAACCCCCTGCTCGAAGCAGGACCAATTCCCAGTTAAATCATCCCAGCCAGGGCTTTGTCAAGCCTGACCTTAAAAACCTCTAAGGAAGGAGATTCTACCACCTCCCTAGGTAACGCATTCCAGTGTTTCACCACCCTTTTAGTGAAAAAGTTTTTCCTAATATCCAATCTAAACCTCCCCCACTGCAACTTGAGACCATAACTCCTCGTTCTGTCATCTGCTACCATTGAGAACAGTCTAGAGCCATCCTCTTTGGAACCCCCTTTCAGGTAGTTGAAAGCAGCTATCAAATCCCCCCTCATTCTTCTCTTCCGCAGACTAAACAATCCCAGCTCCCTCAGCCTCTCCTCATAAGTCATGTGTTCTAGACCCCGAATCATTTTTGTTGCCCTTCGCTGGACTCTCTCCAATTTATCCACATCCTTCTTGTAGTGTGGGGCCCAAAACTGGACACAGTACTCCAGATGAGGCCTCACCAATGTCGAATAGAGGGGACCGATCACGTCCCTCGATCTGCTCGCTATGCCCCTACTTATACATCCCAAAATGCCATTGGCCTTCTTGGCAACAAGGGCACACTGCTGACTCATATCCAGCTTCTCGTCCACTGTCACCCCTAGGTCCTTTTCCGCAGAACTGCTGCCTAGCCATTCAGCCCCTAGTCTGTAGCGGTGCATTGGATTCTTCCGTCCTAAGTGCAGGACCCTGCACTTATCCTTATTGAACCTCATCAGATTTCTTTTGGCCCAATCCTCCAATTTGTCTAGGTCCTTCTGTATCCTATCCCTCCCCTCCAGCGTATCTACCACTCCTCCCAGTTTAGTATCATCCGCAAATTTGCTGAGAGTGCAATCCACACCATCCTCCAGATCATTTATGAAGATATTGAACAAAACCAGCCCCAGGACCGACCCCTGGGGCACTCCACTTGACACCAGCTGCCAATTAGACATGGAGCCATTGATCACTACCCGTTGAGCCCGACAATCTAGCCAGTTTTCTACCCACCTTATAGTGCATTCATCCAGCCCATACTTCCTTAACTTGCTGACAAGAATACTGTGGGAGACCATGTCAAAAGCTTTGCTAAAGTCAAGAAACAATACATCCACTGCTTTCCCTTCATCCACAGAACCAGTAATCTCATCATAAAAGGCGATTAGATTAGTCAGGTATGACCTTCCCTTGGTGAATCCATGCTGGCTGTTCCTGATCACTTTCCTCTCATGCAAGTGCTTCAGGATTGATTCTTTGAGGACCTGCTCGATGATTTTTCCAGGGACTGAGGTGAGGCTGACTGGCCTGTAGTTCCCAGGATCCTCCTTCTTCCCTTTTTTAAAGATTGGCACTACATTAGCCTTTTTCCAGTCATCCGGGACTTCCCCCATTCGCCACGAGTTTTCAAAGATAATGGCCAATGGCTCTGCAATCACAGCCGCCAATTCCTTCAGCACTCTCGGATGCAACTCGTCCGGCCCCATGGACTTGTGCACATCCAGCTTTTCTAAATAGTCCCTAACCACCTCTTTCTCCACAGAGGGCTGGCCATCTCTTCCCCATTTTGTGATGCCCAGCGCAGCAGTCTGGGAGCTGACCTTGTTCGTGAAGACAGAGGCAAAAAAAGCATTGAGTACATTAGCTTTTTCCACATCCTCTGTCACTAGGTTGCCTCCCTCATTCAGTAAGGGGCCCACACTTTCCTTGGCTTTCTTCTTGTTGCCAACATACCTGAAGAAACCCTTCTTGTTACTCTTGACATCTCTTGCTAGCTGCAGCTCCAGGTGCGATTTGGCCCTCCTGATATCATTCCTACATGCCCGAGCAATATTTTTATACTCTTCCCTGGTCATATGTCCAACCTTCCACTTCTTGTAAGCTTCTTTTTTACGTTTAAGATCCGCTAGGATTTCACCATTAAGCCAAGCTGGTCGCCTGCCATATTTACTATTCTTTCGACTCATCGGGATGGTTTGTCCCTGTAACCTCAACAGGGATTCCTTGAAATACAGCCAGCTCTCCTGGACTCCTTTCCCCTTCATGTTAGTCCCCCAGGGGATCCTGGCCATCCGTTCCCTGAGGGAGTCGAAGTCTGCTTTCCTGAAGTCCAGGGTCCGTATCCTGCTGCTTACCTTTCTTCCCTGGGTCAGGATCCTGAACTCAACCAACTCATGGTCACTGCCTCCCAGATTCCCATCCACTTTTGCTTCCCCCACTAATTCTACCCGGTTTGTGAGCAGCAGGTCAAGAAAAGCGCCCCCCCTAGTTGGCTCCTCTAGCACTTGCGCCAGGAAATTGTCCCCTACGCTTTCCAAAAACTTCCTGGATTGTCTATGCACTGCTGTATTGCTCTCCCAGCAGATATCAGGAAAATTAAAGTCACCCATGAGAATCAGGGCATGCGATCTAGTAGCTTCCGTGAGCTGCCGGAAGAAAGCCTCATCTACCTCATCCCCCTGGTCCAGTGGTCTATAGCAGACTCCCACCACTACATCACTCTTGTTGCTCACACTTCTAAACTTAATCCAGAGACACTCAGGTTTTTCTGCAGTTTCTAGAAATTGATTTTATACAGTCCATTGTGTATGTCCCCACTAAGCGCATTAAGTTGGCAGAGTGCGTCCTCACTACCATGGCTAGCATCAACTCATGGAACAGTGCACTGTGGGAAGCTATCCCACAGTTCCCACAGTCTCCGCTGCCCATTAGAATTCTGGGTTAAGCTCCCAGTGCCTGATGGGGCAAAAACATTATTGCGGGTGGTTTTGGGTACATGTCATCAGTGGGGCTGGTTGATACAGTGGAATGCCGATTCTGGGCCCAGCAAACAAGCACAGACTGGTGGGACCGCATAGTCTTGTAGGTATGGGATGAGTCCCAGTGGCTGCGAAACTTTCGCATGCATAAGGCCACTTTCCTGGAACTCTGTGAGTTGCTTTTCCCCACCCTGAAGCGCAGGAATACCAAGATGAGAGCTACCCTGACAGTTGAGAATCAAGTCTCTTAGCCCTGTGGAAGCTTGCAACACCTAACTGCTACCAGTCAGTCGGGAATCAATTTGGAGTGGGCAAATCTACTGTGGGGACTGCTGTGATTCATGTAGCCAATGCAATCACTGACGTTCTGCTATCAAGGGTAGTGACTCTGGGAAATGTACAGGTCATAGTGGATGGCTTTGCTGCTATGGGTTTCCCTAACTGTGGTGGGGCAATACACGGAACACATATCCCTATCTTGGCACCGGACCACCTTGCCAACTGGCACATAAACCACAAGGGGTACTTCTCAATGGTGCTGCAAGCATTGGTGGATCACAAGGGACATTTCACTGACATCAACGTGGGATGGCCAGGAAAGGTGCATGACGCTCGCATCTTTAGGAACTCTGGGCAGTTTGAGCAGCTGCAAGAAGGGACTTACTTCCCAGACCAGAAATGCTGAAATGCCAATAGTTATCCTTGGAGATCCAGCCTACCCCTTGCTCCCATGGCTCATGAAGCCTGGACAGTGGTAAGGAGCAGTTCAACTATAGGCTGAGCAAGTGTAGAATGGTGGTAGAATGTGCCTTTGGATGTTTAAAAGCAAGCTGGCGCTGTTTGCTGACTAGGTTAGACCTCAGCTCAACCAATATTCCCATTGTTATTACTGCTTGCTGTGTGCTCCATAATATCTGTGAGAGTAAGGGGGAGATGTTTATGGTGGGGTGGGAGTTTGAGGCAAATCACCTGGCTGCCAATTTTGAACAGCCAGACACCTGGCAGATTAGAAGAGCACAGGTAGGCACACTGCGCATCAGAGAGGCTTTGAAAACCAGTTTCATGACTGGCCAGGCTACAGTGTGACAGTTGTGTGTGTTTCTCCTTAATGCAAACCCACCCCCTTTGTTGATTTTAATTCCCTGTAAGTCAACCACCCTCCCCACTTTGATCACAGCTGGCAAAGGAAATAAAGTCAGTATTGTTTTGAAACCATGCATTCTTTCTTTATTAATTGAAAAAAAGGAGATAACTGATAAGGTAGCCCAGGTGTGGTGGGGGAGGAGGGGAGAAGGGAAGGACAAGGGCACATTGCTTATTGTAGCCACACTACAAATCAAAGCTGTTTGAATGGCAGCCTTCTGTTGCTTGAGCCATCCTCTGGAGTGGAGTGGCTGGGTGCCCAGAGCCTCCCCTACCCCACCCACCCCCGCGTTCTTGGGCATCTGGGTGAGGAGGACATGGAACTTGGGCAGGAGGGCAGGCTGTTGTACAGTGGATGCAGTGGCGGCCTTGTTGGCTTTCCTGCAGCTCCACGAGACGCCTGAGCATGTCCGTTTGCTCCCTCATTAGCCTCAGCATTGCATCCTGCCTCTTCTCATCACGCTCACTTAATGCTTTCCTGGACTCTGCCACTGAATGCCTCCATGCATTCAGCTGTGCCCTAACAGTGCGGGAGGACTGCACGAGTTCGGAAAACATGTCATCGCGAGTCCATTTTTTTTTTGCCTTCTAATCTGCGATAACCTCAGGGACGGAGATGATAGGGGAGCATAGAAACATTTGCACCTGCAGGGGATAAAAAGTAAGAGTAAAAGTTAAGATCATACATTTTTGAGAACAAAAAGGAGACTCTTTCACAGTGAATCAAGCAATTCACAGCAGAAAGAATATGTGCTTTAGGTACAAGGCCACATTTTGCCTTTTATATTGAGCACCTGCCAGTATGGCGACACATCACACATGGCTGGGCAACAGAATATGGTTTCTAGGCAGGCATGGTAAGCCAAAGGGTACACGTGTTTGGCTTCTAATGCCTTCATATCATGTGGGAATGTTTTCAAGCTGCAGTGCCCTACTTTCCCATAGCAAGCAATGCTGGTTGGGTTTGCCATTTAAAAGGATGGACTGCGGTTTTTAGGTGGATGTGCAGCACACACCTTCCCCCACCCCTCTGCGTGGCTATTTGGGATGATCCCTTCACCTCTCCCCCCACCACATGGCTATTTTCAGGGATGATCCCTTTTAGCCAAGTGCAAACAGCCCAGCTTGAATGGGGTCCTTTTACTGTTCCCTTACAAAAATTCCCCTATTTCAACCATGTGACCATGAATGATATCACTCTCTTGAGGCTAACAGAGAAAGATATAGACCGAATGTTGCTTGAATGTGACCAAAACCAGGACCATTCGCTGCCATGCTTTGTGCTGCAATGATTCCAGACGACTTGCTACTAGGCTTGGCGTGGTAAAGTGTCCTACCATGGAGGACGAAATAAGGCAGCCCTCCCCAGAAACCTTCTGCAAAGGCTTTCAGAGTATCTCCAGGAGAGCTTCATGGAGATGTCCCTGGAGGATTCCCTCTCCATCCTCAGACACGTTAACACACTTTTCCAGTAGCTGTACTTGCTGCGAATGTATCCCAAGTCTTCAGGACAAATCAAACATTAAACACTATTGCTTTTAAACCCTGTAGTGTAGTTACAAATATGCACTCACCAGAGGTGCCTTCTCAGCCTTCAGGGTCGGGGATCCCGCCTTGGGAGGGTGTTGGCTTGGGAGGGTGATGAAAAGGTCCTGGCTGCCAGGGAGAATGGATTCACCGCTTACCTGCTGCGCATTCTCCTCCTCCTCCTCTTTCTCATCCACAAAATCCTCCTCCATGTTGTGTGAGATTCCCCCACTACCCTTCCACGGACAGTGGTGGGGTAGTGGAAGGGTCCCTCCTAGAATGCCATGCAGCTGATCATAGAAGCAGCATGTATGGGGCTCTGACCCAGAGCGACTGTTTGCCTCCTTTGTCTTTTGGTAGGCTTGCTTGAGCTCCTTGACTTTCACGCGGCACTGCTGTGTGTCCCTGTTGTAGCCTCTGTCTATCATGCCCTGTGCGATTTTGGCACATATATTAGCATTTCTTATTTTTGATTGGAGTTCTGCCTGAACAGATTCTTCTCCCCATACAGCAATCAGATCCAGTGTCTCCCGTTCGCTCCATGCTGGAGCTCATTTGCGATTCTGGGGGAACTGCATGGTTACCTGTGCTGCTGAGCTCGCAATGCTGACCACACAGGAAATGAAATTCAAAATTTCCTGGGGCTTTTCCAGTGTACCTGGCTAGTGCATCAGAGTTGAAAGTGCTGTCCAGAGCAGTCATATTGGAGCACTCTGGGATAGCTTCTGGAGGCCAATAACGTCAATTTGTGTCTGCACTGTCCCAAATTCGACCCAGCAAGGTCGATTTTAGTGCTACTCCCCTCGCCAGGGAGGAGTATAGAAGTCGATGTTAAGAGCCCTTTAGGTCGACGGAACGGGGTTGCTTGTGTAGATGCATTCAGTACAAAATCGACCTAACACAGCTAAATTCGACCTAACCCTGTAGTGTAGACCAGGGCTAAGAGCACTGTCTGTACCTCCATTACACGATTAGCTAAGTACTTTGGGAGTTCACATTTGGTACTGGGTTGATAAAATTTAATTATAGACCATACCACCAATTTGGGGTGTCTGCCCTGCTTTTGACAGTCTTCCCTGAGATAGGCATTCTCGGTCATGAGCCACTCCAGACAGTGTGACAGTAATTATTATTCATAGTTGGCAGCTATGAACATTTGAATGCCTTGGTCTGTATATGGTAGTTAGCAGCTGGGGAATGATCTCAGGAAAGGCAACACCTTAAAGATGCTGCAGTCCAGATTCTCCCTGACAGGATATGAACAACTCCCATTGACTTCAGTAACCTTCAGTGGGAGAATCAGGCCTATATTATGGAGTTGTAGGGCAAGGTCCTCCTTGGCTGACAGCTGGAAAGAGACTGAATGGGTTGTGTGACTTACGAAGTGTCCTTAACTGATAAGAGCTCTAAAACAAATGTCAGGAGTATGGAGATGGCACCTATCACCAAAAAATCCTCTTCTGGCAAGAGTGTGTGTATGTGATAGTGCAGAGGATAGCAGAAAACCCCTATGAGATCCCCCTGAACCCTCTCACCAGGTACAAGAGTCTATACTTTGCCTTCTCCCTGACAGAAGTTGTCCAGGGGTCACTTTAGTGATTATAGCCTCTGTAGCTGCAGTAGGGGGAGAGCAGCTAAGGATCAATGGAGGACTATTCGAGCTGATTTGAGCTGATTTGAGCTGATTTGTATGAGTTCCATGCCCCCATCCCTTGTAGTTCATGATCTCCCATTTCCAAAGTAGGAATGAGTCCCCTCCTCCTCCCGTCTTATGCATCAAGTCATCACATACTCAGGCTAGATAATTTGGTGCACAATTTGTTTTCTGCCACTGAGCTTTTCCCCTTAAGTCAGCAGAATTTAGCCCCATTTTTCTAAAATTGAGCCATGTTACATCTAGAGCATGGACAGAAAGCATATGGAACAAGGTGAACATTTTCTAGATAACCAAAATTTACACCGGTTAACAAGTTCAAAACACTTTCTGGGTGGAAAGTACAAAACACAACACAAAATCCTGACTTCTTTTTAACTTGAATATGATTTCAATGCCCCTAACCTGGACTTGTAATAAAAAAAAAGCTAAGAAATTTAAATACAATTGTATTGTGATGCTACAATAAAACATAGCACTTTAAAAAAGAAAGTTACAAGATTATAGGAGATATTAAGGATGAGACAAAATAATAATAGTAATATGTGTTAACACAGTATATATTCAATCATAATTGCTTTCAGAATAATTTGTCTATTTTACTGTTGTTTTTTTAATATAAACACAGCCTCTAGAGAGAGATATTCAGCAGTTTGCTCAGCACAGAGCTACACTATAAAAACTCTTTCTTTGAAATGGTATTTTTGGTACCTCTAGCTTGACAAAGAACAATTGATGCTCAAGTGTGCGTCATGGTGGTCAGAACATATAACTTAATTTAAGTTAACATTTTTCTTTGTTTTACTGGAATTTTGCCTCTCTTTTCTCAGTTTTTAACATTTTTATTGGTGTGTGGCATTGTACAATTCGGAAGTAAGATGCCAAAACCAGTTTGGCTAACTGCAAGATTAATTTTTTTGGCTCCCATACCTCTTAAACCAAGGATTATGCACTTATTTTAACTTTTTATAGATGGTCCAAGCTTTTACTCAGTCTTCCTGGAATTTCTAATTGATTCATCTAAAAGCTTGGACTTACTTCAGAAGTATCTACATTCTGTGTTAAACTCTCTATCTTCTTTTGACTTAAAAATTGAATCAGTTAGTGGCAGAATGCAGGAAGCAGTAGGAGAGTTACTCAACTAGAGATATTCAGACCTTGATGTCTTAACTAGTACATTAATGAAAGACAATTATGTGCTGAAATATAGTTGGGGATGTGGAGAACAAGGTGAGAATTCAAAATCATAGGACACTGGCATAGTTTCCCTCCTCATGATAGATATTGAACTTAACGACTCCTCTTTTTTCTTAGTTAGAGGCATCAACTACTGACAAAAAGCATACTTTCTTTTTCCTTCTTGGACACTGTACTTATGATCTGTGAAATCTTGGCCATGAAAAATAAATTATATGGAAAGACACTGAAAGTAACCCAAAAGGTAAAAAAATCAAGAATGTAAAAGGTCTAAAACTACAGATTATAGCAAAAAGTAGAAGAACAGTCATATTGGAGCAGTAAATTATCAGCTGGTCTACAAGTCTTCACTGACCTCCAGCTACATAGCATTAAGAATGGCGAGAAAATGTCTGTATATTTAAATTTTTGAAGAGGTTACCATTTTTATTGTTATTAAGATGAAAAATATGGTATTGTACTATTTAAAAAGAAAGTTTACCTTTTTCTTTCTTTTTAAAAATAATTGGTAGCGTATTTTTCACTTCCCTCATACTCAAAAATGGTTGAATTACTTTGTCTTGAACTTAAAAGAAATCACCCTTGGGCAGAAACGTGGATAATTTTGGCTCCAGGAGTCTTTGGAAAAATAGTGTGACTGAAAACAGAGTCTTAATGAAGCCATTACAGCAGCCTTAACTATGAGTATCCCCACTACTCCACTAATAATAAATAATAATTACTTATAAATTGCTGTAAATTTATCCTATGAACAGATTGAGACACATTCCCAATCCTGAACACAACAATCTAAGTAACACAAAACAGGATAAAGAACAAAGAGGGTATTATGATTAGTGCTGAGAACACATTTTTCTTAATGAAAGGGGTTTTAAGGAGTAATTTGAAGGTGGAGTGAGAAACAGAGGTAGAATTTGAACACACAAGTGAGGAAGATAGTTGTAAGCACAGGAGGCAGAATGGGTGAAGACAAAAAATAGTGGGAGGAGATAAATGCATTAGTGAGGAGAGAGATTTTGGGAAGTAAAGGGGAAATGAGAGCAGAGACAACATTTTATATGGTAAGAAGCCAGTGAAAGTATTCATACAGTAGGAATGATGTGGTCAGAACAGCATGAGAGGAAGATGACTTTAGCAGTGGCATTTTGAATATGTTGGAAGATGGAAGTTGCAGGGAGGTTAAAGAGAAGGCAACAAGCCAAGAAGTTAGCAAAGTGTGGATAAGAGTTATAGTTGCTGGAATTGTGATGAGAGGATAAATTAGGGTGATATTAAAAAGGAAGTAGTATTAGTTAAAATATATAGCAAGGGCTTCAATAATGGGGCAGATGGAGCAAGAAGATGCCATTATTGTTGTTGAGGCTGGGAAAGGTGAAGGATAGTGAAGTAGTCAAAAGAAAAAGAAAAGAAAGGAACTGAAAAGACACTGGGAAAATAAATACATTTTATTCTATTTTCAAAGTGAGTTTGGAATGGCAGCAGGATAACCAAGAGAAGATGTCAGAGAAATTTGGAAATGTGACATTGGACAGACAGTGAGAGACCGAGGAATGTGATGTGGTGTTCACCCCACTCTAGTCTGGAAAGGGTTAATGTGGCTCAGAAGGGGTTAACCTGATAGGCCACACCTGAGGGAGAGCTAGGCTTGACAGACAAGCAGTAATTGAGGATGGGGCTCAGCTGGGAAGGAGCAAGTGCAGCTGGTATAAGGCCAGGAAGTAAGGCCAGAAGGGGCTGCTGTGTGGATGCCTGCACTCTCTAGGCTTAGAGAGGGAAAAGGAAGAAACTGAGAAAAGGAGCAGAAGTCCTGGGATCCTGACCCTAAAAGAATGGTTACCTAGAAGGGTGTTGGAGAAAAAAGCCTGACAGAAGTGGAATAGGAGACAGCCCAGGGAAAAAGTAGCAAAGTTTTGGGATGCAGCAAATCTTGGCTGCTGATTGAAGTGTCTTTGGGTGTCAGCATGGAATAGTGGGTGGTCCTGAGTTCCCTACCAACGACTGAGGAGGGCATAGACTGGAATTGGAAGACTTCCAGGACTAATACCTGGACAGCCAGTCCAGAGAGACGTTGATACCCTAGAAGGGAAAAACTACAGTGACCTGACCAGAGGACCAAGCCACAAACAGGGAGAACCCCATGACAGGGAACAAGAAATAGGTTTGGGAATAAAGGTGACTTTTGAAATAATATGAGCAGAGGAGATCACAGACAAAATATGTAGAGAGACAATGAGTCTCAAGAAGAAAGGACTAGTTATTGTGGTAAAAAAGGAAAAGGAAGATTACTTGCCTGGTAGTAACCGGAGGTCTTTGAGATGTGTGGTCCCCATGGGTTTTCACTGTGGATGCATATGCAGGCTGTGCACCTGGGAGCAGAAATTCTTCAGTAGCAGTGAAGAATAGTCCTCACGTGTGCCCTACACCTCATTGTGCTCAAAACCAAGGGCAGAAAGGGCAGCACAGACCAACTGCCTCTCTAGTTGCTGCTCTACTGCAAATCCTGTGAGGACCTAAGGAGAGGGGAAAGAGGGAGGGTCATGAATAAGGAGCATCCATCTCAAAGAACTCCAGTTACTATAAGGTAAGTAACCTTCCTTTCTTCTTAGAATGCTGGTTCCTATGGGTATTCACTGTGGGTGACTCCCAAGCAGTGCTTGTTTAGGAGGAAGGTGTGAAGAAGTGTTCGGCACCACAAATCAAAGGATCACTAAGCTGATGGAAGCATCCCTAGAAGAAGCTTGAACCATAGCATAGTGTCCAGTGAAGGTGTGAATGGATCCCCACCCTGTAGCTCTGCAGATGTGAGAGAGAAACCCCTTGCAGAGAAGACCCCAACGCAGCTTGAGTTCTGGTTGAGTAAGCCCTGACAACCTGTGAAGGCCAGGCTTCCATGATGTCATAGAAAGGACGACGTAACCCAAAATCCATTTAGAGATTCACTGGTAAGAGATTGCATCTCCTTTCATTTGGAGAGGAAGATGAATAGTCTCAGAGACTTTCAAAAGGGCTTTTCCCTGTGCAATTAGAATGCTAGAGAGCTACGTACACCCAAAGAATGGAGCCTTTTATCTTCCAAGTTACAGTGAGGCTACGGATAAAACACCTGAAGGTGAATTATTTGGTTGCGATGGAATTCAGAAGGCACTATAAGGGATGAAGTCTGAAATACATTTTTTGTCTCTGTGAAAAACTGTGTGCAGAGGGTCCACCGTAAGAGCCCCAAGTTCCCCCACCCGCCTAGCAGAGGTAATTGCCATAAAGAAGGCCACCATCATAAAGAATTACAGAAGGGAACAGTAGCCAGTGGCTCAAATGGTGGTCTCACAAGTGCAAAGAGGACAAGGTTCTGATCCCAGGTAGGAACTGATTAAGAAATCAGAGGGAATGTCCTTATGATACCATTCAGGAACTTTACTGTAGTGGGATGGGTAAAGACTGAGAAGCTTTAGCACAGGAGAATGGAAGGCATTGATGGATGCCAAATGTACCTTAATGATCTGATAGACAGGCCTGACATTTCTAACAAGAGGAGTTTGTCTAGCTGTCTGGAGTGGCTCACAAACATGGCTGCCAACATCAGGGCAGACTGTTACAAACTCCAAATTGTTGTGTGTTCTATAACTGAATTTGCCCTATCAAGTGTGAATTCCTCGAATACTGTAATAGCCTTAACATGGAATCACAGACAGTCCCCTTGGTACTCTGATCTATCTTGCCACCCAGGCAAGCCTGCCTTTGTGTTAGATGGTTCCTCGCATCAAAAATCATAACAATATGCAGGTTACTTCCAGTTCCAAAGGCCCAATCACTTACCCCAGGTCACACACCAAAGACAACGCTCGTAGCCAACCCTGTAATACACTAACTAAAGATTTATTAACTAAGAGCAGGAAATGAGAGTTCTTTACAGGGTTAAAGCAGGTAAACATACACACAAATGAATTACAGTCTTAGGTTTCATAAAGTAATAGAAGATGCTGTAATGTACAAGCTCTATATGTACGTTAGGTCTAACCAAAGCTATGTTATGGGATCTCTTGCTTAAATTGCTTAACAGCCCAACCTATGGCATAGCATTCCCACTCAATCACAGAATCATTCTGTTCAGTGGGGGTGGCAGGATGGGAGACCCCACTGGTGAAAGATTTATTGCACTGTCAGTGGGTGGAGTTCCCACTGATGATCCATATGGAAATAAATGTATGCTAGTGCTGCCTGCTAGGGAGTTCATTATTCCTAGAATATGAGCTGCCAAAAGTGTGACCTGATGCTGTATGCACTAGTTCCAGAGCTGGACTGCCTCCTTGAAGAGTGAAGAGAACCTTGCTCCTCCATGCCTAATCATGTACTAGGCAGTAGTCATGTTGTCGGATCTGACCTGAACACGTGTGGACTGCACTCAAAATGTGTTGCATACAACATGAGAGAATTCTATATTACAACTCATCTTGATAAAGAGGAACTGATCACAGAACTAAAAATTAATGGGATCTTAGGCACAAGTGATCATGACTTGATTATATTTATAATGTGCAAACAAAATAAAGCCCACACCAATAATATATAAACTTGGTGCTTTGAAATGATCAGTTTCACAAAGCTGAAAACAATTATGAGCCAAATCAGAAGAGTGGAAGAATTTAATCAAAAATTGTGGATGATAATTGGGAATTGTTTAAGAACACTTTACTAGATTCCTAAAAAGCACTGGTTCATTACTAGATGGAAATGGTAAAATTATCAATGATAATGCAGAAAAGGTCGAAGTGTTCAATAAATATTTCTGTTCTGTATTTGGGGAAAAAACATATGATGTAGTAATATCATATGATGATGATAACACTCTTTCTATTCCAATAGTAACTCATGAGGATGTTAAATAGCAGATGCTAAAAAGTCAGACATTTTTAAAACCAGGACCAGCAACTTGGATCCAAGCATTTTAAAAGAGCTGCCTGAAGAGCTCACTGGATCATTAAAGTTAACTTTCAATAAGTCTTAGAACACAGGGGAAGTTCCAGAAGATTGGAACAAAGCTAATGTCATGCCAATATAAAAAAAGTGGAAGCGGGATGACCCAGGTAATTATAGGCCTGTCAGTCTGACAGCGAACCTGAGCAAAATAATGGAGCAGCTGATATGGAACTTGATTAATAAAGATTTAAGGGAAGGTAATATAATTAATGTAAATCAACATGGTTTTACGGAAAACATATGTTGTCAAATTAACTTGGTTTTTATTATGTGATTACAAGTTTTGTTGATAAAGGTTCTAGTGTTTATGTAATATACTTAGATTTCTATAAGGTGTTTGACTTGGTACTACATTTTGAGTAAAAAAACTAGACCGATATAAAATTAACATGGCACACATTAATGGATTAAAGGCTGGCTGACTGATATGTCTCAAAATATAATTGCAAAGGCCGAATCATCGTGATGCAAATGTGTTTCTAGTGGGGTCCCTAAGGGACTGGTTTTTGGCTCTACACTATTTAACATTTTTATCAATGGCCTGGAAGAAAACATAAAATTATCACTGATAAAGTTTGCAGATGACACAAGAATTGGGGTGAGTGGAAATAATGAAGACCACAGGTCAGTAATACAGAGCAAGCTGGATCACTTGGTAAGCTGGGAGCAAGCAAACAATATGAGTTTTAAGAAGTCTCAAATATAAATGTATACATTTAACAAAGAACCTAGACCATACATACAGGATGGGGTACCCTATCCTGGGAAGCAGTGACTCTGAAAAAGATTTGGGG